AGAAATTAACCAATATGAACAGAAAAAATAGACTGGAAGAAGAAAAAGATGAAAGCCTGAGGGACTCACGGGAGTGTAAAAAGGCATCTACCATTTCTGCTATTGGAGTTCCTAAAACAAACAAATAAAAGTGGAGATGAAACAAATATTTGAAGAAATCATAGTTAAAAATCCCCCAAATTTGGAAAAGGGCATAAACCTACAGATCAGAAAGTTGAGCAAACACCAAACAAGATAACTTCAAAAAATTCCATGTCATACACCCTGTAATCAAACTTCCAACACTACAAAGAAAAACACTTTCAATGCAGCGTGACAGAAATAATGCATTACAAACTGGGTAACAATGTTTTAAATGGTAGCAGATTATTAAAATGAAACGCCAACCCTAAATCTTATATCATACAAAAACATCCTTCAGGAATGAAGGGACAATAAAGACATTTTTAGAGGAAGGAAAACAATGAACAGCTGTCACCAGCAGATCTACCCTAGAAGAAAGGTTACGTAAGTTCTCCAAATTGAAAAGAAATGTTAACAGAAGGAGGAACAGAATTTCAAGAAGGAAGAAAGAACAATGGAATGGGCAAAACAGGTCAACAAAAAATGCTTCTTATGACTTTTGTAAAACATGTTTGAGAGTTAAAACGAAAATTATATTTTTCAACATGGTGCTCATTTTTTGAATAGGAACTACTCAAAACAATTATATTGGTATGTAAGGGAAAGGAACATAATGGAAGGTGTCTATATAGCAAAGTGCTAAACTGTTGATACTATTAAACTGTTATACATTATGTAGATACATTGCAATACCTGGAGCAACCAGCAAAAATACAGATACACAGATAGTCCCTGACTTATCATGACTCGACAATTACTTGACTTATCTATGGTGCAAAAGTTATACACATTCAATAAAAAGCATACTCTGAATTTTGATTCAAAGTTCTTTATAACTTTATCATAAAGCAGGCTTTCTGTTAAATGATTCACACTAAACAATGAAAAACTAAACATATTATAATTTTTCATGGCTTAGAGAGGATATCTCTGCCCAACTGTAGGCTAATGTAAGGTTTCTAAGTATGTTTAAGGTAGGACAGGCTAAACTATGATGTTTAGGTTTATTTATTTATTTATTTATTTTTAGTTGGAGTCTCGCTCTGTTGCCCAGACTGGAGTGCAGTGGCACACTCCCAGTCACCACAGCCTTGACCTGCTGGGCTCCGGCGATCCTTCTGCCTCAGCCTTCCAAGTAGTTGGAACTACAGGCGCGCGCTACCATGCCTAGTTAATTTTTGATTTATCGTGGAGATGAGGTCTCACCAAGTTGCCCAGGCGGGTCTCGAATCCACAGGCTCAGGCAGTTTAGGTCTATTAAATGAATTCTCTCTCATGCATGCCACCGTGCCTGGCTAACATTTAAAAAAAAATTTTTTTCTTGTAATTATAATACAGTTTACAAATGCTTTTTTAAAAAAAAAAAAGAAACTTTTTTTGGTAGAGGCAGGGCCTTACTATGTTTCTCAAGACAGTCTCAAACTCCTGGCCTCTAACAATCCTCTTGCCTCAGCCTTCGAAGTGCTGGGATTACAAGCGTGAACCACCATGCCCAGATAAAATGCATCTTCAAAATACAATGGGTTTAATTGGGACATAATCCCATCATAAGTCAAGGAGCATGTGTACTAAAAAACACTACAGATCTATCACAGCAAAGTGTAAGAAAAAAAGTTGAAGTAACTTGCAAGAAGTAAAAAAACAAAAACAAAAACAAGGCAACAAAGACCAGAGAAGATCACTAAAAACAAAAATCAAATCATAAAATGGTAGGCTTAAGCTCTAACGTGTCAAGTTATTTTAATTTAAATGGTCTAAAATTTCAATTAAAATATAAAAATATGCAAAATGGATTAAAAAAAACCCATGACCCCAGTATATGCTGTTCATGAGAAACTTACTTTAAATGTAATGATATAAATAAAACTTAAAATAAAAAATAATGAAGATATATTAACCATACAGACATTAACCAAAACATGCAGCACTGACTACAAGAATATCAGATAAAGTACTGACAAGAGTACGAATGAGGCAAAAAGGAAATTACATTATGATAAAAGGGTCAATATGCCATGAAATCTGAGCAAATCTACATCTACATGTATCAAACAATACAGCTTTGAATTATGTAAAACAAAAAGTGATAGAACTTAAAGGAGAAACAGAGCTTCACAATTATGTTCAGTATGTCAACAGCCCTTTCACAGAAATTAACAGAAAATCAGTAAGAATATAGCAGATGTGAATAACAACCAACAGGAACATATGGACATTTACAGAAACTTCACCCAATGACAGAACATTCTTTTCAAGCAGTAATAGAGGCCCAGGAACAGTGGCTCACACCTGTAACCCCAGCACTTTGGGAGGCAGAGGCAAGAGGATTGCCTGAGCCTGTGGGTTCAAGACCAACCTGGACAACATGGCAAGACCTCATCTCTACAATAAATGAAACCAATTAGAAATCAGTAACAAAAAAATAGCAGGAAATACACACTAAACAATGAAAAACTAAACATATTCTAATTTTTCATGGCTTAGAGAGGATATCTCTAAAAAAGTCAAGAGATATTAGAAGTGAATAAAATGTAATGAAACATATTAAAACTTGTGGGATGAAGCTAACGTGATGTGAGGTAAATTTATAGTATTAATGCTTACATTAAAAAAGCAATCTGGCACTTTGGGAGGCCGAGATGGGCACACTGCCTGATCCCATGGGTTCGAGAACAGCCTGGGCAACTTGGTAAGACCTCATCTCTACAATTAAAAAAAAAAATTAGGCGGGCATGGTAGCACGCATCTGTAGTTACAGCTACATGGAAGGCTATGGTGGAAGGATCGCCTGAGCCCAGCAGGTTGATGCTGGGGTGGCCATGAGTGTGCCACTGTACTCCAGCTTGGGTGATGGAATGGGACCTCCAACTTAAAAAAAAAGACAAAAAGCTTCAAATCAGTCATCTAAACACCTACATGGAGAAGTCAGTAAGAGCCAAGATAAGTAGAACATAATATAGATCAGAGCAGAAATCAGTGAAATCAAGAAAAAATAGAGAAAAATGAACAATATAAAGTGATATTTCTTTGAAGTGATCAATAAAACTGATAAATGTCTAAGAAGACTGACAAAGATAAAAAGAGAGCAGACACAATAAATAAAATTTATCAAAAATAAATGAGAAAAAAGTACAGTTGCTACTATCAAAATAAGGGAAAGCTGCAAATTAGAAAATTTGGATGAAATTATTCCTTTAAAAGGGTAGACTATAAAAATGTATTATACATGAAATACTCTGAATAGTTCTGTATCTATCCAATAAAATAAATATGCAATTTAAAAGTCTCAAAATAAACCCCCAAAACAAAAAAACTCCAAGCCCAACAGTTTACTAGAGAATACTATCAAAAGTTAAATAACACCAATTCTATACAAAGTCTTCCAAAAATTAGAACAGAACTCCTTCCAACACAAATTGGGAGGCAAGGATCATCTAGACATCAAAACCAGACATGAGAAAATTAAAAAAACCAAAGAAACAAGAGATAAACGAAACAAACTACACATCATTATTAATCAATAAATTAGACAAAAAGTCCCTCAACAAAATACAAGCAAATGGAATAATGTAGAATAATATAGAAAAAGAATTATACTCCACAAGAAAATGTGATTTATTCTAAGGATGCAAGGCTGGCTCTAAATCTAAAACTCTATCAATGTAATACATTATATCAATAGGATGTAGGAGGAAAACGACATCACCAAGTCAACTGGTGGAGAAAAAGCATTTAACAAAATTCAGTAATTCAATACTCATTCATAATGACACAGAATTTCAGCAAACTGGGAATGGGGGAGGGGAAATTTTCTATACTTCATGAAGAATATCGATTTTTAAAAAACTTACAATATTATACTTACTGATGAAAAACTGAACAACTTTCCCCTATTATGAGAAACCAGGTAATGACAGCCTTTCTCACTATTCCTATTCAACATTATAATGGTGGTCCTAGCTTGTGCAGTAACACAAAAAAGGAAATAAAAGGTATACAGATGGGATGAAAGAAATAAAAGGTATACAGATGAGATGAAAGATAGAAAACTGTATGTATAGATATTTCTATGTAGAAAACTCCAAAAACTCTATCAGAAGAAACAATAAGTGAATTTAGCAAGGTTGTGGGATAACAAAAGAATATCAGATATATAATCATATTTTTGTAAACTACCAAATATCATGTGGAATTGAAAGTTTAAATATCAGTGTCATTTACAACCACTCAAAACACACACACACACCCTCTACCTGCAAATTCTAACAAAAATATACAGGATTCATATGCTTAAAATTATAACACTAATGAAATAAATTAAAGAATACTTAACTAAATTAAGAGACATGGTGTTCATTCTCAACAAATTAATCTATAGATTTAACTCAACTTCTGTGAAAAGCTGAGTAAGGCTGTTTTATAACTATATACAGGAAAACTAACCCTAAAATTTATATGGAACTTCAAAGATACTGGAAATGCTAAGCCAATTTTAAATAAGAACAAAGAGGAATCACTTTACCCAATTTAAAAATTTATCATATAGCTACAATGGTCAAGTAAACCAACAGACAAGGAACACGTTTGAGTGTTAGGCTTTTAAAACCACATGAAGGGGATTTGTTTTTTAAAATTAAATCTTAAATTGTTTTAACAAATGCAATAAAATGTGCCCATTCATATGTGTACCCTTTCTGACTTAAATATTTTATGGCTTACACCCCCTAATTTCTCATAAAAATGTATGCATCTCAAGAGTAGGATCAAATACTATTGTAGAACACAGAAAATGTGTAATAAAAGTTTTCAGACTTGCCCTCAACAAACTCTCCTGTCACTGGACAGTAATGAATGTATATTCAAGAAACAAAAAAGATCAAGGCCCTTTAACTCTAAAACTGAACACTTCCCTCGCCACAGATATACTAAGGAATCTATGACAAAGTGCCATAGGCTTGGCAGAGACGTCTGAGAAGACCTGTGCCTGCACTTTTTCTTCTACGTCTCCTCCTTTTAAAAATAATTCCTGAGATAACATTGCACTGTAAACTAAGGAGAAAGATGTAGCTGAAAGTTTTGCTACATGTACAATAACCACTGTCTCTCTCTCTGGGATGAATTCTTAGATATGGAGAATAAGGCTCCAGGCTGAATCAATTTCTAAAATGATTCTGTGGATGACAAATAATATTCTGCAACAGTAGGTTTTCTCATAGTGAAGACACTTATGGGGTTTCTCTTTGGTATGCATGATCAGATGTAGAGGAAGATGTTTTCTCTGGCAAAATATTTGCTTCAGTGGTTACATTCAAAAAATCTTTCCCTAAAAGGAGTTCTCGAAGGGTAACTGAAGTTTGTCCACTTGCAAAAGGTCTTCCCACATCTGTTACACTAACAGGGTTTCTCCCAGTATGCATCCTTTGGTGCTGAGTGAGGGATGAGCTGCGACTGAAGGCCTTTCCACATTCACTGCACTTATAGGGCTTCTCTCCAGTGTGGATAATGGCATGTCGAATAAGGTTTGTGCTCCAGCAAAAAGATTTCCCACACTCGACACATTCATAAGGCTTCTCTCCACTATGAATACGCTTGTGCCTAGTGAGGCCTGACATGCGGGTGAAGGCCTTTCCACATTCCACGCACTCATAGGGCTTCTCTCCAGTATGGATGCTGAAGTGTCGAATAAGGTCTTTCCGATTGCTAAAGGCTTTTCCACATTCTTTGCACTCAAAAGGTTTCTCTCCAGTGTGGGCCCTTTTATGCAGGATAAAAGTAGAGCAGTGAGTGAAGGCCTTTCCACATTCACTGCACACAAAGGGCTTCTCCCCAGTGTGAATCCGTTGGTGCCTCTTGAGGTATGACCTGTGGTTGAAGGCCTTCCCACACTCAAGGCACTCAAAGGGCTTCTCCCCAGTATGGATGACATAGTGGTGAATCAGGGCTGCACTCTCCAAAAAGACTTTTCCACATTCACTACACTCATAGGGCTTCTCCCCTGTGTGAGTCTGCTGGTGCCACATGAGGTATGACCTATGTTTGAAGACCTTGCCACACTCCAAACACTCATAGGGATTCTCACCACTGTGAACAACATAGTGTCGAAGAAAACCTGGCCTATGTCGAAAGACTTGTCCACACTCTGTGCACACAAAGGATTTTTCTCCAGTGTGTCTCCTATTATGCAAAACAAAATTGGATCGGTGAGTGAAGGCCTTTCCACATTCACTGCACTTATAAGGCTTCTCTCCACTGTGAATCCGCTGGTGCTGGGTAAGGTATGACTTGCGGTTGAAGGCCTTTCCACACTCCATGCACTCATATGGCCTCTCCCCAGTGTGGATCATGTGATGTTGCAGGAGATGTGTGCTCTTAATAAAGGTTTTCCCACATTCTGTGCATTCATAGGGCTTTACTCCAGAGTGAATTTTCTCATGTCCAGCAAGGAGGTGTTTTTTATTAAATACTTTCCCGCATTCACTGCATTTAAAACTATTTTCTTCTTCCTGAATCATGGGATCTTTACCTGAACCACATGAGTTATGGTTATGAACTATATGTCCTGGAGAGATGTGCTCCTGTACAATTCTTGAAGATACACTACTGACTGTACCTAAACCAATGTGTTCAGGGCTCATTTTCCCAGGAAACTTCTTCTGGGGATCTATACTCGGTCTCAGATGTCCTCCCTGCATTTTCCGTATCTCATCCTGATCCTTGGCTTGCCCCAAATGGGAGCTCGCTGAAGCTTCTTGTATTAGTGGTCCCTGGAGCGAGAAACCCACAGACAAGGCTGGCTCACAAGCAGTAGGTTCTGTGGTCTTAGATTTTCCTTTATCACCTGAAAGAAATCCAACACAAAAAAGGGCCTGTTAATAAAGACAACATAGAAAAAACAAAATCACTATTTCCATGAAAAACAAAAGAGGAAAATACTACCTCTGTGTCTGTTATGTATCTTTGAAACATGGGTTTGTAAATTTCCTTCTCTCCTGGTCCTTAGACTTGGATATCCTAAAAGGGTTAAAAAAGTAACTCTAGGAGGAGAGGATGGGTCAGAAGACAATGAGTCTATAGTGGAGTTACTTTCACAACTCCAGAATGGACAAGAGTGGACAAAGTAATAATGATACTGTGTGTACTAAGTTTCCTCTAAGCGAAGACATTTCATGTGGCCACAAGAACATGAGGAAGGGGCACCTAATGCAGTCCATAAAGAAGTCGGGAAATGTATAATAAAAAATGCACTCCCCTCAAATAAGCTTGGCTTTTGTCTAAAGTTGTGGAAAGTAACCTCAAAACATTGGGTATTTCTAAAATATCTTTTGTATTCATGGTGAGCTCCAAGTTACGTGACAGTGAAGGTCATATGATCACTGCCATTCTCAAAACAGAGCTCATAAAGTGAGAGGTAAGCAGGAACTGGCTTACCAGGAATTGTCTTCATTAACAATATGATCTGATAATTCTACTCAAATCCATATATAAATTTAGTATAATTCTCTGTAAAATACCAACTGTATTTAATCATGGAACTTGACAATCTAGTAAATTAAGTAAATGAAACTACACAAACTGGCTAGTCACATTGGGAATGAAAATAATTGCATTGCTATCTCACTATATACTCTAAATCAATCTCACTGATAAAAATGCCAAATGCTGAGTTTTAAAACTTTTACAATAAAACACATAAAAATATACTTTTAAAATATTGGGGTAGGCCAGGCACGGTGGCTCAAGTCTGTAGTTCCAGCACTTTGGGAGGCCGAGGTGAGAAGATGGCCTGAGCTCAGGGGTTTGAGACCAGCAAGGACAACTTGATAAGACCTTGTTCTCTACAATAAAAAAATAAAAATTAAAAAAAAATAAGCCAGGCATGGTAGTGCATGCCTGTAGTTCCAGCTACTTGGAAGGCTGAGGTGGAAGGATCACCTGAGCACAGTAGGTTGAGGCTGTGGTGGCCATGAGTGTGCTACTGTACTCCAGCTTAGGCAACAGAATGAGACTCTGACTCGAAAAAAAAAGTTGGGGTAAAGCAGTATTTTTCATACAAGACACAAAACCATTAGTCATAAGAAAAGCCATAAATTAGACTACAGTAAAATAATTTTAATTGAAGAAAAGAAACTTTAAAGAGAATGAAAGGACAAAACAACTAGAATATATCTGCAACATATATAAAAGTATCAGGAATTTACAAAGAATCACTACCAACCAAAAAGAGAAAGATAAGCAAATTAATAGAAAAATCAGCACTTACCATGAAATAATTATTTGCATTTTCACAGAAGAAAATACAAATTGGTCAAAAATCAAAAGTTGCTAAAACTTTTTAGCAATGAAAGAAATGCAAATCAGGAACACATGAGACTAAATCGAGAAGCCTTATACTGATGGAAAATAGAACCTCTCCATACTTCCTAGTGAAGTGCAAATTAAAACAGGACATTTAGAAAACAATGGGATTGATCCTGCAGACTTGAAAATTTGCAGCCAGGTGCGGTGGTTCACACCTATAATTCCAGCACTTTAGGAGGCCGAGGTGAGAGGATTACCTGAGTCCAAGGGGTTGAGACCAGCTTGGGCAGCTTGGTGAGACCTTGTCTCTACAATAAATCAAAAAATTAGCCAGGCATGGTGGTACATGCCTGTGTTTCCAGTTACTTGGGAGGCTGAGGTAGAAGGGTCACCTGAGCCTAGCAAGTTGAGGCCGTGGTGGCTCTGAGTGTGCCACCGCACTCCAGCCTGAGTGACAGAGTGAGACCCTGGCTCAAAAAAAAGAAAAATGCTCAAGTTTCTTACACTTGAAGAAAATAAAACAAATGCTCATGGCTCATGGTGTATTTATGTATTCCACTCCGTGGGCATTTAATTGTTTACATGTTTCATTCTCAAATACAGTGATGGTGTGAACATTCATATATGGAGATGTATTTTTTAAAAATAATGTTTCTTGGATTGAAATGATTGGATTATTGACTGTGCAAACTTTTTTTAAAAAGTAGAGTCATACTGTGTTGCCCAGGCTGGAGTGCAATGGCACACTCAGAGCCACCGTGGCCTCGACTTGCTGGGCTCAGGTGATCCTTCCACCTCAGCCCCAAATGATAATGGCTCACTGAAGCATCAGCCTTCTGAATAACTGGGACTACAGGTGCATGCCACCATGCCAGACTAATTTTTTGACTTTTTTGGTTGAGACAAAGTCTCGCTACATTGCCTAGGCTGGTCTCAAACTCAGGCTCAAGTAATCCTCCAGCCTAGACCTTCCAAATTGGTGGGATTATAAATGTGAGTCACTGTGCCTGGCTTGAGCATATTTTTGATTAGAGAAAGAATGAAGTTACAAAATGAGCAGAATGTTAGTGAAAAAGAACTGTCCATGAAAAGCTGTGATCTGGACTCCGGTGTAGGAACCGGCCATGGCCATGGGTAAGACCTCTTCCACTAGGGGAAAAAAAAGTGCTACAGATATGAGAGGTTGAAGTGAATATTTAAGGGTTGATGATCAAGCAATATAAGGAGGTAGGGTTTAATTTCAACACGAAAACTTGCTGCCACATCAGTGGTCATATGCTGAGACGTGTGCCTGAGAAATGGTAACTGGCAGGATGACTAAATGTTCGAACTGATGGAGATGGAATGCCTAGTTCCTATGGGTAAAATGTGAGGAGAACTGGTGTTTCTGGAAAAGGGTATGACTCCCCCTTTTCTGTCAATTCTCTGCTAACATGAGGATGTCAGCACAATCTTAAAGCTATAGGGTGATGACAGAAGGAACTCGAGTCTCTGAATAACTGTGGTACAAAGTTTCCCATTGACTCACACATGATATGAGTGAGAAAAAGAGTTTTTACTAGCTGAACTACTGAGATTCTGCAGTTTGTCTGATACAGCAGCTAGCATTCACTTAGCCAAGCTTAAATACAAAGACTTAAGATTATGTAACTTCACTAGGGCCACAGAGTTGGTGATCAGTAAGTCAGGTTTCAAGTCTACACAGTTGGAGCTATGAGAGAAATTTTAGTTTATAAACCTCACTTCTCACCAGGAGTGGTAACAGGTATTATGGGGCTGGGAGGACAAAGGAAACATGAATCAAAGGGGTTTATAGCTCCCAAACCACGGGTTTCTCCCACAGTGAGAACTTCCCAAGAGATTAAAGGACCAGTGAGTGATCTCCAGGCCTCAAACCTACAGGGATATCCATCTGTCCAGATCTTGGCTCCTACCTGGACAGGTGCCTTGGAAGAGATCCTTCTTGTTGGTCCATAATTCCTGCCCATGCTCTAGCTGGCAGATCAGATCAGGTCTGGGAACAGGAAACCCTGTTTGAGGGTAAATAAATAGATACATGGATTTTGGTGAAAAGAAATAAAGACCCTCAATCTAGTCTGGGTCTTTAGGATAAAGATCAGACCAGAATGAAGCTGCTTTCATTGATGCAAATAACAAACTGGCATGTGACCTGGAAACCAAGAGCAGGTCATGCCATGCAGCCATGGAATTTTTACTGTTAATAATAGGTCAAAAACTAGTATTTACAGAATATAACCACATCCAAAAACCATGCCAAAATATTTATCTTTTTGAGTCAGAGTCTCACTCTGTCATCTAGACTGGAGTGCAGTCACAGTCACTGCAGCCTTGACCTGCTGGGCTCAGGTAATCCTTCTGCTTCAGCCTTCCAAGTAGCTGGAACTACAGTCGTGCACCACCATGTCCAGCTAATTTTTTTATTTATGTAGCGATAAGGTCTTGCCATGTTGCCCCAGGTGTGAGCCACTGCACCTGGCTTTGATTTTTTGATTCACTGTACAGATGAGTCTCACCATGTTGTTCAGGTTGATCTCGAACCCCTGAGCTCAGACAATCCTCTTGCCTCTACCTCCCAAAGTGCTGGGATTACAGGTGTGAGCCACCGTGGCTGGCTGTGCCAAACAATTTAAATGCATTATGTCCTTTTAAAATCGGGCCAAGCTTGGTGGCTCAGCCTGTAATCCCAACACTTTGGGAGGCTGAGACGAGTGGATTGCCTGAGTCTGCAGGTTCGAGTCCAGCCTGGGTAACTTGGTGAGACATCTCTACAATAAAAAAAAATAAAAAATTAGCCAGGTGTGGTAGCATGCACCTGTAGTTCCAGCTACTTGGAAGGCTGAGTCGGAAGGATCGCCTAAGCCCAGCAGGTCAATGCTGGGGTGGTTGTGAGTGTGTCACTGCACCCCAGCCTGGGTTACAGAGTAAGACTCCAACTCTAAAAAAAAATAAGAAATAAAATTGAACAACACTTATGGAATTCCTTAGAAAAACTGACATACCTTATTTTTTTATTTTTTGAGTTGGAGTCTCACTCCATCACCCAGGTTGTTGTCCACATCTATAATCCCACCACTTTGGGAAGCAGAGGTGAGAGGAATGCCTGAGCCCAGGGGTTCGAGACCAGCACGAGCAACATGGCAAGACCTAGTCTCTACAGTAAGTCAAAAAATTAGCCCGGCGTGGTAGTGCATGCCTGTGAGTCCAGCTACTTGAAAGGCTGAAGCAGAAGGATCGCCTAAGCCCAGCAGGTCCAGCCTGGGTGACAGAGTGAGACTCCAACTCAAAAAAAAAAAAAAAAGAGGAATTCAGTTTTCAATTAAACTTTGGAATAATGGGACAGTCCCTTTCCCAAAACTAACTGAGGAGACGAGGA